GACAAGGTGTGGAGGTTACAATGTGTGTCATAACCCTCCTTTGGGAGGGGGTCACATGCTCCCCAGGAAGCTTTCTCTTTTCCCATAAACTGGCAGTGGGGAAATCCCCACCAGGCACTATAAGAAGCCCTAGGATTCTGTGTAAAATCCAACAGCTCCAGCCTAGGAACAAGATGAGGCCCCATCTCCCCTGCCTGCTAGCCCTTCTGTTCCTGCTTTGCCCAACAGCAGAGAGTCTGGGACCCCTGATTCCTGGTCCTAACTCTTTTCCAGGCTCTAACTCATTTCCAGGCTCCAACTCCATCCCAGGCTCTGACTTCAGTTCCAACTTCATCTCAGATTCCGGCTCCAGCTCTGGTTCACCATCCCAGGTGAGAAGGCCCCAAAATCTGGGAGTTGTGTTCATTTCCTCTCTTTCTTTTTTTGAAATCTGAATATAACCTCACAGATGGCTAGACCTGGGTACTCTAAAAAAGGAAGGAAACTTTGCAGTTGTAGCTCCAGAAAAGTTTGTTCTGTTGATTTGCTGTCCAGCACCTGTGGGCAGTGAGGGATGGCCTCCAGGGGCCTAGAGCCACAGCGTTCCAGTTGGAGCCCTGACAGCATCTCTGAGCCTAGTTTTGTAAGTATGTAGGACTCGTGAGGATTTTGGAAAATGCCATTATACAGCAACATTCCCCTGGAGGAGTGCTGATTCTTTCATTCTTCCCTAAGGGAATATTTAGAGTCATTGCCAGCTCAAAGCAATAATACCAGGAGAAATAAGCCAACCAATCAACCAGCCATGCACTAAAGAGGGGACTGGTCCAGCTAGACAACATCACTGGGATGTATGGTAGGCACATTCCTTGGGGAATGAGTCCTCTTTCGCTCTTCTTGGAGCTCTATAACTTGCTAGCTTCATGGCTTTAAGTCAGTGATTTCATCCCTCCAGGCTTCAGTTTCACACTAAAACAGCACCAGTAATTTCACCTACCTTTCTGAATTAAAAAAGATAACATGTAATATATATTTAACCTAATTCTGGCATTTACTAGGCACTCAATGAATAAACATTGCTGTTGCTTTTCAAGCTGAAAAGCATGGAGAGAGTAAGAGAAGAAAGGCTTGGAAACCATTTCATCTTGGCCACATCAGCTCTGCGCCTTTCTGTTGGAGTCCAGCTCCATAAAAACCCAGGCTTTCTTTGCCATGGTCTAATTTGGGATGGGAATGTGTCTCAATTCCCCAAAACTCATAGGTAAGTTTGCTGCTTCAGTGATAATGTCTGGATGGAAGGGCCAGTGCAAAAGGAGAAACAGAGGCTTGTGTTTGTTTCATTTCTGCCATCAGGACTCAATGGACAATGCAAATATATTGATTAATGAATGGTTTGGATAGACTCAGCAAGAGCAACAGCAGTGTTTATTCATTGGGAGCCTAATAAATGCCAGGATTAGGTTAAGTATATATTACATGTTACCTTTTTTAACTCAGAAAGATAGTTGGAATTAATGGTGCTGTTTTATTGCGAAGCTGAGGCTTGGAGGAATGAAATGATTGGCTTAAAGCCATGAAGCTAGCAAGTCAGAGAGCTCAAGCTTTACCAACCTGTGTTCATCACTATCTCGCTGCATGTAGTTTTCTATATTTTCAGAGTAGAGAGGAAAACTGCTTATTATAAAGAAGAGAATAGTTTAAGAAGCATGAATACATAGCACGCTGCTTTGTAGCTAGAAATCACATACATCATTTTATTCCATGATGATAAATGATTACTACAGACAACTAGAGCTGGTTAATAGTTTTTTTTTTTTTTCCAGAAAAATGTGACTAACAATAATCATTTGTTTTGAAGCATCATCATCAGTCAGAAACTATTATGGATAATACAATCAATTAAAATAATAGAAAATAAGATATAGACCAAGAAGCAGAGAAATCCAAAATGCCTGTGATCTGGCAAGGAGATAACTATTTAAAAGTAGGGAGGAGTGCAAGTTAAATTGTACATAGGGGTTTTATTTCCTTCCTAGTTTACTTATCTCCCTCTTGTGAGTTAGTAGCACAACTCCAGGTTCTTTTTTATAGCAGACTAGGTGTCACTTCCATTGTAAGCCCAATTTTCTAGGGCTGCTGTCGTCTTGATGAGCTCTTTGGAAAGTGGAGGAAAACCCCTTTATAACTGTCATTGAGCAAGTTCCAAACGTATCATTTTCTGTACTTTGAAAATGTTGAGTACCGTTATTTTATGCCGTGAATCTTTACAGGCACTTAGACTGGGCTGCTAATTAGAGCGAATTGCAAGCTTAAATCACAAATGTGAGTTGTACCTTCTGCTGTAGTGCTCAGAGCACTTTGCGTGCCTCAGATGTCACCCTCCAAAGAAGGGGCTTCATCAGGGTCCTCATTTCAAAGATGAGAGAAGGTTCCATTTGTCACTCCACACAACACAAAGAAATTATGTGCTTTGTCATTGGGCTAAGGGGCTTGTTGGGGGAAAAAAAAGATTTTCATAATGACAGTGGCCTGATTTACTGGGAAGGAATTGGGCTTATTCATTCCCTAACACCTGGGGTATTGTGGACATCAGTTAACACCAGCTGAATACGTGCTGAGTGAATGAAAACCTACCAGTAGTTTGTCTTGTGGGGGTGTGCTGACAAATACAGAATCCTACTTGCCCTGTGCACGGGGATCACATTCCTTCTAGAGGCCAAGGAGACAACCGCTTGTCATTGTCTCCCAGTCCCCACATTGCACTCATGTAGTTTAAGCATTCACTGCAGAGAGACCCATCACCATTAGCTTCATTGTCTTTGAATGTGAGGAGCAGAAATATCTCTAATGGGAGACACTGATCAAACTTATGGACCATTTTGATGTCAGCTGAGCACACTGGGCTGATGATAAGCAGGATGGAAGCTGGGGACTCCATAGCACTGGGACAGAGATGTTCAATAGAAGTCTGTGGAATGGCTGTCAGCAGGGCTTATAATTATTCGCCTGCCTTTCAGGTGAACTTCAGGACTAAAAGTTGTTAGCTAGTGGTTTCTAGTTGATTGTCTGGAGACTGCTTGATGATTGCCACTGTTTTTTTGAGTTGACAGAACTTTTCAGAGAATTCTCAGAATGGTCCAACCCTGTCTTTCTCAGCTAATTAACCTCCCCTTGTCAAAACGCAAGGCAAGATTTTTTTTCTAGACAGTTATTATAATAAGCTGTTTTTTCAAAAGTTCATAATATGTGGGCCCTTTTTGTAAAAGCCTTCGCATAATGAAGATGGAGGCTTCTATCTGCAGAGGAAGTGATAAAGCTGATTTTTATCACTGGCTTCTCTGACAGGCTCCTGGTATAGCTTGTCCTTGTTGATGTGCATCCATGGCACAGACCCTTACCCTGACTACACCCAACCCCCATGCTCACCATAAACCTGCATGTCCCTCTTCCTTACTGTTAATCCCTGTAGCTGCAGCTGTGTATGGGGTTGTGATTGGAGAAGAAATTTGAGACCTTGTCAAAAATTTACCTGGCATAGAGAGCTTTGGAAACGTGTGCGTGTGTATGTGTGTAACATACAAGAAACTTAACTACAAAAGCCTGAATTGGTCTAGAAGTCACTGATGGGGATATCCTGATTATAGAAGCCTCTAGTTTCTGTTCATTTGGGTATCATGGAGATTGGCTGTTAATAAATGCACAGAGCTGCAGTCAGCTGACCTCCTAAACTTTGAGCTATGCATACATAGTCTGCACCTATTCAACTCTGTAAATCAGTGCTCTCCCCCGGAAATTTTTGGAAAGAGACCCTTCACACTGTTCCACAGGTGAGCTTTGGCTTGACCTTAAGATGAGATCATTGAAAAAGCACCATCAGTGGACTTCCAAGAGTTACTGGAAGGCAGCATCAGCAATAAAATGCTGTTAATAGTACTGGGAAGTTCAAAGGGGACCACAAAACAAGCAATCAAAACAAAAAACTCAGGGTCTTTCAAACTTGTCATTTTGAATATGCAGCCCACCAAAGTTTCAGCCTGAACATCATAAAGAAACATCAGATTTTTTAAAAAAATTACTTTCCTGCAAGTGGGTAGCTGGAAAACTTTTTAGCACAAAACCTTCAAACTAATAACGCTGTTCTGTCTTTAACAAATGACTGGTTTCCATTTTGAAAGATGTTAATTACACAATTTTCCCAGGTGAAGAGAGAATATGAATTTGCATTAAATATTTTCACACTAACTCATATCATACTCTTGATATTTTCTTTATTACTATTAGGAGGAATTGGGTTACTTGGGGTAAAAGGTGAGGAACAGAAAATAGGTAGAAGGAAAGAGAAAATGACAGTTACTAATCACCTATTATGTGTGAGGGACTTGGTTAATATTTTTATACACAACTTAATTTTTTGGGGTAACTTTTCATTCTCTAGAATTTGTAAAATTTATCTTTAATTGAGGTAATATTAGGATATCCCCATCTGATATTACCACCATAGTGCACCCACCACTAAATCACCCATGTTGTACCATGGTGCAATGTAGTTGATTGTGCTTCCTTTCTTTGTATCTCTCCAATTCCTCTCCCCCTTCCCTCTCCATCCCTTCCCCCATTTCAGTTCTTTTTAAAGATAACCTAGTGAAGTAGGTTATCCTTCTTTGACAGATGAAGAAGCAGATTTAAAGAGAGTTCATGACAATTAGAGGGTAGACCTGGAATTCAGGTTTAGGATTCTCATCATTTCTTTCTTTCTCTTTTTTGATGTTGAGACAGCAATGTTTTCCTTTTAGACCCCTCAAATAAACCAGGGGACTGACAGAGTGACGGTGGCCAAACAGTAAGTGTCTTGGGAAACTTGGCCTGTTGAGTTTGTGTCTGTGCTTCTGTTTCCTTATGATTGATCTCCACTTGCCTCTAAATGCTTTTTGGACAAAGACAGTTGCTACCACTCCAGTTGCCAAAAATCCCATCTTCCAACTTATTACTGATGATGAACTTATTTTTATTTGCAGTTGTTTTCCAATTTTTCTGGCTCCAAAGATGACCATGGAATCTGCCAGTGCTCCGTTACCCTCCCGGACACCGCCTTCCCTGTGGAGAGAGTGGAAAGCTTGGAATTCACAGCTCAAGTTCTCTCTGAGAAGTTCCAGAAAGAGCTTTCTAAATTAAGTATTTTCTTTTATCCCCCATTTCCAATTTATTCAAACACTGCCTTGATAAGTACAAACTAACAAAGAAACAAAACACTTTTTATTCAGGATTTTATAAGCAGCTGTTCTTTGCCTTTATCAAAGACAACATGTTTATATCCTATGGAGATGTTAGCGCTTATTTTATACCTGTGGAGTCCTTTATAGCCGGAAAAATAAGAGCACAGGAAGGAAATGGGATCGAGATTATGGGTGCCATGGATAAGTCACTTCAATTCTGCGGGGCTCAAGCTGTTGGAAAGAAACCTTGAGCTCCCCTATGAAGCCCAATCCTGCCATTTACATCTTATTTCCTTTCTTCTACCTCTGGGTTTTCCCTTCAATTTACTCCTTTTCCTGTCCTTTCCTCTCTCCTCTTCACTTCTGTCTTCTCTGACTTTTCCTAATCTGGTCCTGCTCCCCACTGGTTCTTGTTTCTCTTCTTGCCTCAAGTTAGTCCTTGTCCAACCCACCTAAGAGCTTTCTTTCCCGTTCCTTCTTAATTCTCCCTTAGCTTTTTTTGGTCTTTTATTTTGGAAGTTCCCTTCTTCTCTTCTACTTTCTCCTCTATTTCCCCAAATTGTCTGCCCTTTTCCTTCATTCCTCTCTCATTTCCTTTGTTTTCTCTTTCTAGTGTAGCCTGTACCTTCTTCTCTCTCTTTCTTGGTGGTTTTCCTCTACTTCTCAGTCAGTACATTACATTAGATGTGCCTTACATTAAGCCAAATTCAGAATTCCCTGGGAATTTGAACCAAGACTAGTAGGTGATAAGTTGTTGGTGAAAAGCCTTACTTGAACCCCTAACAACCACTCTTCTGTAGCCAGAGTAAGTTTTCTTATAGGGTTTGTTTTCTCCTGAGTGTATTCAAGTTTTCACCACTCTACCTTTATAGCCACATTTAAAATCAGTGCGAAAGGCTCCCATTTTCTGCACAGGTAAAGTCCAAGCTGTAATCACATTATGCATTATTTACTACAACTCCATTAATTTACAAGGAGCTCTGGCTTTCCAGCAAGATTCAGATTAAGTTTTCCTGAGAAAGTTAAACTTAGCTATCTCAACCTTCAATATGGTTGTCCTTAAAGGCAAAATTTGTGGTGAGGCTGAGACCCTGCTTTCAACCTAAATTGGCAGATAAATATTCTAAGTTTAAATCAGTGTCCAGGAAAATATGTTTGACTACTCCAGGAATTTAGCTTCTTTGGAAATGAAATGTCCTTGAATTAATCAGCAGAAAAGGCACAGCACTAAATTATAAATTCCAGCCATTAATATTCATAGCCCTATTCTAGCATAATCAAGTACAGATAAGAAGTTATGCATAAAAACATAACAAGTGGAGGAAAATCCTAGGTAAAGATCTTTTCAGTTAGAACCTTTTGCTTTGAAAGAGTGGAAGCTACTTACTGATTTGCATGTCTTCTTTGCTGGCAGAAGTGTGAAGGGCAGTTTGCAACCCTGTGATGCCCTGGGGAGAATATGTAGCTTGCCAGGCTTCGAGTATGGGACATTTCATTCCAGTCCTGTGGAGGGTATAGGGGGAAGGAAGAGTGGAGGGAGGGGGTGGCATCTGCCTTGCTAATAATTGGCAGGGAATAAGTGCAGGACAGGTGGGACTACTTAGTTCTGAAGGTGTCGGGTAGCTTGTCCAACAAAAATTAATGATTGAGGCCTAAGAAAGGAATTGACCTGCCAGCTGAGATTTGCATAATAGATTCAGTGTGACTTTATTAAAAAAAAAAAACCAGTGATAGTAACAGCTTCCCTTTGTGCTTTTCTAGATGGTTCCATTTCAATTTTAATCTCAAGCAGCTCTTTAGTTAGGTCAAATGTTCTCTTTCTCATTTTAGGGGAAGAAAAAGTGAGATTCATAAAGGTCAAGGGACATAAGTGTAAAAGGTCATTCCTCTGCTGTCTGGTTAAACCAGGTCAGGAACTTTAGTCTTCAGAATCATCAGTTCTCTTTTCTCTTTGCCAGGCTGTTTTCATCCTTTAGTGCAAACCCAAGAAGAGATGCAGTAGGTCAGTGATGCCTTCAAATCCAAAGTTATCTCTTCAGCTGAGGGCTTTTGGACTTCCAGGTGAATTATTATACCTGTCCCTAGGTTGCCTAGGAAATCACCGTTTATCTAGAGGCCTGGGGGAATGCCTGTTTGGACAGGCCTGTAGGAAAGGGTTTTTTGACTGTCTTACATTGATTCATTATCTGTCAGTACACGGAGAAGACTGGGAGCTGTCTCTGCATAAAATGCTGAAAGTATTTTATTCTTTCCTGTTGTTTATGATATAGCCTGTTGTGACTATACTTAGGTAGGGGATGGTGCAAAAGTTAGCTCAGGATTTTTGTCCTCTGGAAGGTTATGGGCTTTGGGGGAAATTATTTAATATGACATCTTTGCTAATAGATCCTCAAGCATGAGAAGGTTGAGTAAGCCTGGGAGAAATTTAGGCAACTCATAAACAAACGTTGATTGAACAATGTTTTGTGCAGTGAATTATAATAAATTAAAAGGTCAGATTGAAAAAAATAAAAAACAAAGTCACTGCTACTCTAATAATTGGTTTAATTTATAGGGCATCCATTATGGTGGGCATTTAATACACATTGTCTCTAGTCTTTATAATAATCTTATAAATTTGGTATTGTTTTTCCCAGTTTACAGAAAGAAACCAAATCTTAGAGAAATGAAATTATTTGGCCACTGATTGCTGAAGTCTGCTTGAGTCTAGATAGGTCTTACTCCAAAGTGTTCATATGTGATGGTAGTCAGTTCAAGCTCAGTTGCATTTATTTTCAAGGAAATATTAAAACAGTAGTAAATTGCAAAATACTTTACTTACTTCACATAATCTGGGCATAGTTAACATCACAGGATACTGTCACAAACACAAGCCCGAGTAACTCTTTAGCTTAATGTGAACTGCATTGTGTCCTTCTTTATTACAAAACCATTTATAATACAGAGCAACATCAAATACCCCAGAAATCTCCCTCAACAAACTTTGATTCTTAGGATCCACCTATGACATTATTAAGTACACAACACACAAAAGAATGGCAATTCTGCATGTTGGTTAAACTGGTGCTTTGAAGACAAACATGGAAGTGTCCTTCAAAGCTCAACTTGTAGTGATAAGAAGCATGCTAGTAAAGACATAACACAAGGCTTTACCCCCTAGGGCTAGATCCATTTCCCTCTACACATTCCTGGGTCAGTCTGGCTACCTCTGCTGAGACTGTAGCTTCTATACAGAGTTTGAAGGTTCTCAGAATTGTTCTCGGTGTTTATACTAACAATCCACTTAAATTCATTAAGTTCACACTTGCTTTCTAGCCTATCGTCAGATTCTCTTTGATCTTGTATAAGTTCATGGATGACTCCAGTTGTCCTGAACATCACTGGCCTCTTCTTTCAATGTTAGCTGAAAGAACTTCAAGTTTTCCCCCAAAAGATCTCTAGAGAGACTTCATTTTGTGGCTGAACTGGGGCAGACATATTACGAGCTCTCATAGGGAGCAAGCTCCCGAATATACCTTAGTTTTCAGTGAGAATCTGGGGGAGCCATTTTTTATTTAGCAGAGATGACAGTTGAATTACTCATTTTTGTAGAACAGCAGCTGCGATGTGCTACCAAAATGTTCCAGGAAAACTAAGGGTGTTTCATTTGTTCCAAGAGCTGGCAGGCAAGGCCAAATGCCAACAAGAATATTCATTTTGTAAACTTCTATTCCTTCAATGGATTGACAATTAATTTATTATTTTAATTTTATCACAGGCAATATTCTATGCTGGATATTTGTAGAAATTGAAACTTGGCTATTTCCTATCTGTGTTTCTTATCTGTACTTTGAGGAGCTTGTTGGTTTATATGTATGTGTTTTTAACCTCCTTATTCACCAAAATGTCACCAGCCTCATCAGCTTCCAAGTGGTGGTGCATCTGATGGCGGGGAATGTTAGTTGCCCGAGGAGATACAGTAGCAGTGCCAGTGGCTGCATTATCAGCTTTCATTAGAATCCTCTTTGCCTGAAGCCTTAGCCCTTTAGGTCTACGACCTGAGAGTCTATTCTGATTTGTACAGTGGGGTTAAATGGAAGGGCTAAAAATGACAGAAGTTAGGGTGCCTTTGGTATTAGAAGGATTAAAGGCCAACATCTGGCTCGGAATCCATCCGGGCGCTGTGGATCCGCTACTTGACATTAGTGCAGTTTGGGGGAAAAGTATCACTTCTGTTCAGATTTCTAAAAAGAATGTAAAACCAGCAACTTTTAATGAGCAAGTCCTTAAAAAAGCCATGGCATTTCTTTAGAGATCAGATACAGAAAGAATCACCAACTGTGTTTATTGAAATACCCATTTGGAGATTCCAATTATATACTAAGCCACCAAGGGAATTTTTGGAAGTATTTTAACTTAATGATCAGACATTCAAATATATGCAACAAATGTGTAATTTAAAGGTCTGATTGCAATAATCAGTTCTTGGAATAAGTGTGGGTGCTCTTAATGAAATGTGCACTTTATAGTTGCATATACACTCACGTATTGTAAGTTTAGTCTTTAAGCCACTATGTAAAAGGCAGATGAGCTCAAAATTCATTGTACATGTAGTGCATTTCTTCCTGTTCTAGAAAATAATGAGATTTAGAGCTGTGGTTCTAAACAGAGGAAGGTTGGTGGTGGTGGTGATTTTGCCCTCAGGAAACACTTAGCAATGTCTGAGGACATTTTTGTTTGTTGTAACTCAGGGGTAGGTGAGGAGTGCTATTGGCATCTAGAGGCTGATGCTTAAGCATCTTACAATACACAAGTCAGCCTCTGACAAGAAAAAATGATCTAGCTCAAAATGTCAATGGTGCTTAGATTGGGAAACCCTGATTTAGAGCATGTGCATTGAGGGGAGCTGCAAGGGCAAAGGGATTCTGACTCCAACCACTTAGTTTAGAGAGCTGATGTCTTTAAATATTGAGACAGAGAGGAAAGTGCACTTCCAAGTGATGATTCTGAAGCAAAATAATTTTTTAGTCTAAGCAAGCACAGTCCCCACCCCCCCATTAGTAATTTTTTTTAAAGTTTGTAGTTAGATATATTTTTTTTAAAGTCTAGTTAAGTATATTTTTGATCCATTTTTAAAGTTCTTACATCTTTGTTAATTTGGACAGTATTTGGTTTCTCCCCTCCATGCTGGCCCTGTAGTTCCCCCCACAGCACCCCTAATCCATCACCAAGTTCCCTAGTGCTCTTCCCTCTCTGGTTTTGACCCCTCTCTTTCCTTCTACCTGCTGTGTGCCTCAGATCTATGGTCAGATTGCAAGTATTATCTTTTTCCTGACCCTTTGTTTAGTTTCTCTATATTCCACATAAATTGAAATTGTTTGGCCAGTTTCTTTCTTTTTTTTTTTTAAAGATTTATTTATTTATGCATACAGAACTGGGGTACAGGCCAGAGGTGCAGGGGCGGTGAGAGGATTCACCAGAGACAGAGTGGGGAGCAGAACAGGCAGATCGATGCAGTACACTGCTGAGGGGAGCAGCGGGCGGGTCAGGAGAGGTCTGCCGTGCCATGTGGTCACCTCCGGGGCAGGCGGGGATCGAACTCATGCGGAAGCAGCTTTAGATTCTCAGTGCTGTGCTTTAACCCGCTGTGCCACCAGGGAGGGCCTCTTTCTTTTTTTTTTTTAAGATCTATATATGCACACATTAAGTGGGGTACAGGCCAGAGGTGTGGGGGTGAGAGGATTCACCAGAGACAGAGTGGGGAGCAAAACAGACAGATTGATGAACTACACTGTTGAAGGGAACAGTGGGTGTGACAGGAGAGGTCTGCTGCACCATGTGGGCCACCTCCCTGGCCAGGTATCGAACTTGTGCTGCAGTGGCTGCAGACGCTGCAGACAGCTTCATAGTGCTGCACTCTAACTCCTTACACCACCAGGGAGTCCCTGATCCAAAAAATAAGTGACAGAAATCAAATAGTACCCAAAGGGTTGGCAATGGAGGAAGATGATATGCTATTACTCTGGGAATTGACTTGAGCCTTTGATTCTCTTTCAGGTGAAGGAATATGCCCAATTAATCACTGTGTATGAAAAGAAACTTTTAAACCTAACTTTCCGAGTAGAGATCATGGAAAAGGATACAATTTCTTTCACTGAGCTGGACTTCACACTGATCAAGTTAGAAGTGAAGGAGATGGAGAAACTGATCATACAGCTGAAGGAGAATTTTGTTGGCAGCACAGAGATCGTTAACCAACTGGAAGTGGAGGTAAGGAACAAACACGTCCTCACCACATTGACACTGAATTATCAGTAAGCAAGGGCGAGGGCACCCTCTTCTGATGTTGACTTCTGTTCCTCGTGTGACCACGTGGCATTGCCTGCCCTCAGCTTTGGGAGGGCACCTTGAATAGTTAGTAAGCACTTTGGGAACCTATTTCCTGAGTAGCAAGGGTTGCCAAATGGTCAGAGTCCTGTTTCAGAACCGAATGACATTTCAGTGTCTCAAGAAGGAGATGGTATAAATCTGAAGAGCTCCACGGGCGAGCCCCATCAGGCATATCTGTGCAGGAATTATCCTCCTGGATAATTATTCTACCTGATCGTGGGCTTGTTAGGTCTGTTTCTTCTTTTGAATGAGTATGTAATACTTAATCCTTCTTGGAACTCTTTTCCACAGCCCTCTTTAAAGGAATTTCTTGAGAGTATGTCTCAGTGAAGGCTTTTAATCTTTGTAGATAAAGACCATCGTATTAATGTTATGGTTGGGTAATTTATATCAACGAGAATTTACTAGCACAGTCATGACATGAGTTATAATGAAGAATTCTTGTTAGGTATCTTAGAATTTTAAATTTTCTCTGGTCCTCATCATTCATTAAAAACAATTATAATGCAACATGAGTAAACAGGAGTTCACTTGGAGAGTTTGTGAGAAATGAACCGGAACGGACATTTCTGGGTGCTTCAAATGAATCTGTGCTCTGTTATTAAAGCTCTTAAAATCTTTGCCATTTTCTTCTTGTCACACACATCTGCCTGAGATCTGACAGGCATTCACACTAAACCATAAAATGTATTCTTCCAAGTGAAACCATTCAGGAGAATCTCGGGTGTATTCTCTAGCAATGTTTCACTAAGTGACAAAATTCAGCTCTGGAATGTTTATGAAAGAAATTGTGCAATATTATAAAGTCACTCTGTTTTTTTTATTTCCTTAGATAAGGAATATGACTCTCCTGGTAGAGAAGCTCGAGACGCTAGACAAAAACAATATTCTTGCCATTCGCCGAGAAATCGTGACTCTGAAGAACAAGCTAAAGGAGTGTGAGGCCTCCAAAGGTGAAAATGCTCCTGTCTCTCCCTCTCTTCCTGAGCCAGGTGAGCATGCCATATGCTGGGGTTTCACCCCCTGGAGGAGCCAAGAGTGGGGTGGTGAGGGGCTACAAGACTGTAATGGTGGAGGAAAGATGGGACTTGAGCAATTCTGAGTTTACCTTTTCAGGCTTTGAAATCCCCTCCTTAGTGGGTCTGCTTACTCTCTATTCTGGGCTCACAGAGGAAGGAACAATGAGCTGATTTAAAACAGAATACACACATGTATGTAAAGGCCCTCTGTATACGAACTAGGAAGATACATGTCTGGTGATGGTGTTGCTCTCAGGGGGCTGGGAAAGTCTCTGGAATCCATGAGGCAAAGAGCTGTGCTGCCCTGCGTCTTGGAAAGGCTGATTGGCTCATTTATCTGATCAGCTGGGGGTATGCCTTGAATCTTCCTTCACTCCTCTCCTTCTCTTCTCCTCCCTCCTCTGTATTTTCCTCTCTGCTTTCCTTAAGTGCGTGTTGAGTACCTGCTGTCTAGTGTGTCCTGGCAGCCAGTAAGGATTAAAGGCACGCACCCACATAGCCAGTACTCTGGGTGTGTCCTGCCCTCCCTCCTGGAGTTCTGAGGGAGCCTGTCTCTCTAACGAGTCTCATTGAGGAGTATAACATAGAGGTGGGTGTTCTGTAAATACCTCATGAATGGAGGCAGTGGAGTCTAGGGGTCAGGACCATGATTTAGAGACCCCAAAGACCTGAGTTTCCCAACAACATGTTCACTGTGAAAAATCCTTAATCTTCTTATTTGTAAAAAGGGTATAATAATAGTACCTATCTGGCAGGGCTGCAATGAGGGCAAAGGAAACAAGGCTTGGGAAGCTCAGAGCTCTGTGATTGACATTACACACCAGCGATTGTTATTAGTATTGATGATAATTGCAGTGAAAACCTTGCTATGGATAGCTAGTGCAGTGCTTGGTCTGGGTTCCTTCCAGGTGAACCAAAGCCAGCCTCTCAGTCCACATTCAGCTCTGTTCTTTGGAGACCTCAGTGTCACAGGGATGCTCTCTCTGCAGGAGCATCTCAGCCTGAATGGGGACTAAATCTTTTCATCAAATCATATAGTTCTTGTTATTCCTATTAATTCCTACTGCTCACAACCTCTTTTCTTTTATTCAGTGTGTTTCTGGATTCCTGTTAGCTGGTTTCTTTAAGGCTTTAATTAGAATACCACTATCATTATGAGCTTCTTGGTGTTGTTCAGGGGACTCTCTTCCCTCCCTCTGCAATTGGGGAAATGTGACATACAGAGGAGGTTGAGGATAAAGGCTAAATCGGGTCTGGGATCAACCATGTGAATATGCACAGAAAGTGAGAGGCACTGAGGCCCTTGAGGGCAGGCGTTGAAGCAATGGCAACCCCTGCTAATACCGGTCTTTTTTTCTTGCTTTTCTTTTTTTAGCCTCCATAAATCTTCCTCATGGAATAGATTTTTCTGCCTGTTCTATTCATCCCTAGGAATAAGGATATTATAGAGTGGGAAGGAAAATATGTCTCAGAGGAGGGGGCCTAGGTGGTATGGATGCTGCTTTCCCTGAGATAACTTTTCCTGAGCCACACAGGTGACTTGTGACAGGGCTGAGACAAGGTGCCTCTCTCTGGTCATCTCAGGACCTGGATGCTAGATGTCTGTACCCAGGGAGTGTGGTGGTGGGAGGTAAGCACATTGCTTAGCATCTAGGCCAGGGAACAAGGGAGACAGTCTAATTATTTTTGTTAGAAAATTTTTTTTCCTAGACCTTTCCCTACGTCTTCACACTTAGACTTTGGTGAGCCATCCTAGCCCAACTGTGTTGTTTAAGCAATTGAACCCAGATTTCCTCTCACTTTCTCACAACCTTGGCTGTACCTGGACCCCCGCCAAGCCACTTGGCATTCCTCCAGCTTTGTTCATATTATATTTATGATGTTTATATTAAACTGAGTACTGTCATGTTTTTAAATCAATTTCTTTCACTTGCTCTATTTCTGTTTGGATTGGTTGATAATGCAGAATTGAAAAATCCCCAGGCACCACCAAGTTGTGAGCCTGTGGAGACTTTAATTAAAGTTACTCACTATTATGGGACTTTAAAATCTGGCCTGTCTGCTTTTTTCACTGCAGAGTTGCACAGAACAAAAAAGACTATATGCAAGTCTCAGCCAAAAACTAATTCTGCACTCTGGGTCCTTCTCTTGCAGCTGCATTGTGCTACCCCTGTGGTCAGCTTGCTCTTAGAACTAGAACATGTACTTAGAATTCAATAAAACATGTTTTATAGTTAGCTTATGCTGTAAATGGCATCCTTTTCTGCTCCATTTCATAATCTAAAATAATTGGCCTTCTGCTCATTAACTTTTTTTCTTTCCTGTAAACAACTGACTTCACTCTGTCTTTAGTTTCCCCTTGAATTTAAATTGCTAGGTATAGACAAAATATGACAGAAAAGCTCAGAGGTCAACCACCACTGTGCCTGGAGATGCCTGGCTCTGATTAGCACACAGTAGGTGCTCAGCACATGACTGATGATTAAATAGGGTGTGAAATGGGTGACCTACCAAAATCCCAAGCCTAGAAAAGAACATAGTACATCTAATAATTCAAAGTCAATTTATTCTTAATCATTTTATGATTATAACCAGTTTAATTGCCTCGTTCTCACAAGTCAATTATATTCTTCTGTTGGCTCAAAGGTCAGTTGCCTAGGTGAGAGATTGCATTACAAGCCAAAATTAAGTTTCCTCTACAAGTATATGATGATTGACTTTTTTTTTTTTTATGCTACATGATACTTTAAAAAATCCAAGTTAGAATATTTTAAAGTCTCACTGTGTGGTTTTTCAGGAAAATTTCAGAATACCATGACAATATCTAATGAATTGCATGATGAAGAAATTGGCAAACCAGGCAACAATTTGTGTAGAGAGTTCCCTGTATTATGTTCTGTAGCATAAATACTGGGGTCTTTGAAAAATTCAGATACATGGCAGGGTACTGGCCTAATGTTTTATAAAATAAGGGTTAGTCTTGCATTTCTTTGTTCTACAAACATCATTTGGTGCTACCGTGTGGCTGGCCCTATTCTGAGTACAGGGGTTATCAAGATGGGTGCAGAAGCCTCTGAAACCAACATAAAGGAAGTAAAATAGTCATATAAACCTTCAGTTGTAGCCTGCTGTGAGTTTGTAATGCTGCTATAAATCAATGTATATTGAGTTACATGTACATGCCTTCTTCTATTCTTTCTGATGATCCTGCAGAATAGGTAGTATCGTTTTTCTTTTAAAATGGAGAAGCTGAGGCTCAGAGAATTCAAGGATACACAACTAGCAAGCTTTGGAGTCAGGATTTGAATTGCAATCTGACTGGCTATGTTTTCACCATAGCAAGCTGCCTTCCTTAGACGGTCTAGTAGAGAGGAACACCTGTGATTCCTGGAGTGACAAGAAAGTTCCAACAACTCGCACAGCTGATGAAGGTCAAATTATCTTTGCTTTCTTGCTTGTGGAAAGCTAAAGGGCACTTTTGCTGCCAGTTCTATGCTGTATTCTCTTCTACCAGAAAAAGCAGCATCTGGTAATTCCTTGGTAGTTCACAGTTCTTGGATTATAGCTAGGCAATGGGATGTAATTCCTGTGGCTGGGGAAAATTGGGATGGGATGGGTTAGGAAGGAAATAGGGGATTGCTAAGATCTCAAAATAAAGGCTGCGGCTGGGAAGGGGTCTGAGGTAAGGGAAGGTAGGGAGGAGCTCAGCGTATATAGGGTTGAGATAACTGTAGCTGGGCTAGAAGAGCAGTGGGCATTGGGCTGGCTTCAGTTTATTTCCAGGTTTGCAGCCAGGATTTGGGAGATGCCTGTCATAGCTTTTTCACTGGCCTGTCACTGCTATAGCCACATTGTAATATTGGCAGCAATATTTAGGTCTCTTCCATATTTCACTTCTTTTGATCATAACCAAGCCCCTAAAAGTGGCTCAAAGGAGGTAGAACAAAAAGGGGTATAACAAAAAGAACAGAAAAAGGTCTTCCTAGTGGTGCACTATAAAGTTTTCAGCACCATCAAGTTATCTCCAGGCACTGGCTTGACTTTAATCCCTGGCCAGGGTGCTAAACCACATGGCACAGCATGTCTCCTGTGTTGCATGCTGCTCCCCTCAGCAATGCACTTTCATTGAGCTGCCTGTTCTGCTTCCCACTCTTGTCTCTGGTGAATCCTCTCACACCCCTGCACCCCTGCCCTATACTTCAGTTCTTCTATGCATAAATAAATAAAAACAAGTCTTTAAAAAAGCCAAAAGTGTTTAGGACTGAATGATTGGGAGATAAGGAAAAGAGATGTAAGATTCATGTAATTTTAGTATTATACCAATTACAACTTAAATTTCCAGGTTAATTTTTGAAATGACATGCCAGTATTATTGTTATTTTTTATTAATAGTAGTAGTAGTTTTTAAGAGTTCATTATGGTTTCTTCATATTTAAGAATTTCCACATCTAAGACTGTTACATGTATCCTAAGTTTTCCTTAAATATTTTGTTGTTGGTTGGACATTTCCTTTGTGGAGGGTAAGATTCAATTAAGCAAATTGTAAGTATTCATCCTGCGAAAAAAAAAGGAGGACTTTTTTTTTCTCATACCTTGAGTGAAATGTAGTTGAATAAATGAATCCTTGGAAAAATATTTTAACTAGAAAATCTAGTTTCTAGCATATTGAAACTCGAATGGTTTTTGTTATCACTAAACTGTACACACTGCTAACTTTATTTTAATAATTCATGCATTGTTTCATGAACAAAAACAAACAAGCATTCATCTGAGAGATCACTTTTAGGAGAAGAAATAATAATTTATAATTTTATTTATCATTTCTTTAGTGGAGAGCAGTCTCTTGGCTGAACACACGTTGCTTTTTTATTTATGAAATGGTGCATGCATTATTAAAATAAACCCACAACTGTGTTCTGCTTAATGATATGCAAAATTATTTGAGGTTGGATACAGAGTGGTTTCATTTCTCTACCTGTTGTATGGTTGGCTGACTTTACCACCAGCTGTGGATTTATGAGAGCATTTAAGAGGCACGTATTTAACTCTGAGACCAAAAAGTCCCAGCAGATTGGAAAAATAAAAGTAGGATTTCTAGTAATGGTTTCACCTCTGAGCAGTCCTGAGGAGGGCAAGTGGGGGAGACATTTGGGAAGAAAAGAAATGGGTCTTTCCATATTGGTCAGAGGCAGAGGCTCAGACAAAAGCTTTGTGTTCCCACCCTCAAGTGCTCCTCTCAGGCAATTCTTTGGAGTTTTGCTTTGGGCTCCAGCTTATCTCTTGTGCACTCTATAACCCTGATTCTCTACAAGCATGTAAAGTAGACCCAGAAGTTCAGGTTCTGTTCCCTCTTTCCCTACCTGCCTGCTTCAGGTAGCAGAAAGAGGGAAATGGCCTCAATGTACTTGAAGTAGGGTTTTCTTTGTTATCTAAAAAACTGTCACACCAGTTTTTTAAGGGCATGTGTTAAGATCCCAGAAAATTTGTGTTCAACTCTTTGGATGGTTATAAAAAATACTGGAAGAATTTTATTTTACTTCTTATAGCTCATAAAAGAGTTGAGTTGGCATACATTTTAGAAGAAATACAAGTCCCTCTCCCTAAGTCATTCCCCCAAATGTTATAGGGAATGTAGATTCAGTGGACTAATAAGCCTAGTGCCACTTGATTGCAACAATGCCAGTATCGTGATGGGAAAGAAGTACTTATCCATCATTTGGTGGCACAGACAAATGTGAGTTATGAACAGCAAGACCCACCTTATAAGCAGCAAGATGATCACCACATGATGTTCGTGATGGGCTCTGCTTTGGGCTAAGAGCAGGCAATATTGCTCTAAAATAATGTCCATAGTTTCTCAAGCCTGAAATCCCACCATTATAGTATCGTCTTTCTGACCCACTGAAATATCATATTTCAGACATTCTCTTCTGAGATTTCCTGAGTCAGCACTGGTACTGGGTGCTGGAGATGAACTTGTGGTCTTGTATAGAAGGGCAGAAGGCTGAGGGGCCAGGGAACTTGCCAGGACAATGTCCTCTATCATAGTTCTCCCTGAGGCTGGTGGGTATCACTCTCTGGTTTTATAGAAATAAGGTAGGATTCTGGGATGATCTGGATTTTTCTGTAAGAAAAGTGATATAATATTTGCAAAATGCTTTCTGATAGAAAAAACGTGTAAAATTCACCAAACCTTTTTCTCTCTCTGTCCTCTCAAAGCTTTTTTTTGACTCCTGGCAATTTCAAAACTGGAGACAGAAGGCTAGAACTGACAGTGGGTTTTCATTGAGACTGAAATCCAGAGAATGTTTTGGCTTGTCTCCATCAAAAATGCTGTTGTCATTGATCCTTGACAGGAAAAATATGGAATCCTTTGGTTTTGGGGTAGTAAAGTGTTCGTATCTTGCCATTCACTTTCTCTAAAGATTTTTTTAATTTTCTTTTTTGTACAGGGAGCTGTGGTCATGGAGGTGTGGTGAACATCAGCAAACCATTTGTGGTCCAGCTTAACTGGCAAGGTTTTGCCTATAAGTTTGGTGCCTGGGGTCGCGATTACTCTCCTCAGCAGCCAGACAAGGGGCTGTATTGGGTGGCACCTTTGAACACAAATGAGAGATATCTTGAATATTACAGACTGTACAATACACGGGATGATTTGTTACTGTACAGATATTATCAGCAGAATAGGATCACATATGGTCAAGGCAGTGGCGCAGCAGTTTACAATAAAAATATGTATGTCAACTGGTACAACAGTGGAAACATTGCCAGAGTTAACCTGACCACCAACAAAGTTGAAGTGACTCAAAGTCTCCCCAATGCTGTCTATAATAATCGCTTTTCATATGCTAATGTTGCTTGGCAAGATATTGACTTCGCTGTGGATGAGAATGGATTGTGGGTGATTTATTCAACTGAAGCCAGCAATGGTAACATAGTGATTAGTAAACTCAATGACACCACTCTGGCTGTGCTAAACACTTGGCAAACTAGTCAGTATAAGGCATCTGTTTCTAACGCCTTCATGGTATGTGGGGTGCTCTATGCCACCCGTATTCTAAGCACCAAAACAGATGAGATCTTCTACTCCTATGACACAAAAACAGGGCAGGAGAGCAGATTGAATATTGTCTTTCATAAGATGCAGGAAACTGTGCAGAGTGTGAACTACCACCCTTACGATCAGAAACTTTTTGTCTATAATGATGGCTACCTTCTGAATTATGACCTTTTCTTTGGCAAGTAACTCCACTAAGATGTCTAGGCGTCAGAGTGAGGAGAAACAAAATGTTCCTTGAAGGAAGGATCTTTTCCACTTAGGTAGATTTGCAAGGGGATCCTGAGGGGGGGATATTTAGGAGCAGAGGTCTCCCACACTAGGTCTTAGAATATTTGTCCTGATTTAATTTGCCCTGATTTACCTCCTTGTATTTCCCTACTGAAATATGTCTGGGCATTATGAGTCCATTGGTGCTTTCAGGGAGGTATCATTTTGGAAATTAAGGCCTCACAGAAGACTTTGAATGGCTTCTGGGGTTTCCTTGTACAGAAGAGGGACTCAATGATCAGTCCTCATGTAGCCTGGCTAATTGTTCCATTCCTGAAAGAAACCTGAAGTTTAGCTAGGCAGATGAATGCCTGAAGCTTCTTGAGGACCCAAATCTCTAACCTTTGCTTTTTTATGGGGGGGTGGGTGGGAGAGGAATCTGAAATGATGGTTTGTACAGAGCAGATAAGTGTACATGCTTATGTCTGTAATTCTGTTTACTGGAGAAGGACTCTTTTATATCTTTCGTTGTACTCTACAGATAGGCACTTGAGTTTTCTTTTCTCCCATGGTGTATCTACACAAGTCAGGCACACTCTCCAACGCCACACCTTTCTTCCAAAGGCAACTCAGTAGACTAGGCCAGACTCGCCAACCAGTTTTCCTTCCCAACCCTTACTGTTTGCATTTCATAGAAATAAACCATTTTAATGGAACAATCATAGGATAAATATATTATTTTTATATGAATTTTACTTACATGACTATATGAAGGTCAGTGGGCAGAGATTAAATGATATCTTTTCTGGTTACATAATGAAATTCTGGGATCATAAATGAGATGTGTGTTAAATCATTTTGATGGGTTCATGCAACTTTATTTTTTCCTAAGCCTGAAACTTAAAATAAAATTTTAATTTTTTCAAGGATTAAATGGAGGAAAACTGTTGAAAACACCTAGTAGATCATAAGTTTGAACACCTTGCAGGTATCTGTGTTCTGTGCTGTGGGAGCCATCATCACCTGGTCTCCATCTACTTTCCTTTGATGTTTGTTAGACCTAGTCCATAGTATCAGCTCCTTAAATGCTGTACTCTTCCCCTTTTGATGAATGATTAAAATGTCTTTTGCAAAAAAGTGTTGTCTTTTGCTGTGTTTATACTATTTTAAATTGTAAAATTAGGGTGGTCCATGCCTTACTGTGAGCTATACACAGTGACTCCTGCCAAGCAACAATGCCCAGGAGGTCACATACCTAGCAACAGACATCAGTAGCTTTTAAAAGCATCCAAATTCAGAGCTGGCGCTTTTGTTTTTATTTCCCTTTAAAAACTTTTCTTTCTGGCAGCTATCGTTGTATGAGATGAAACATTATTTTTTATATGAATTTTACTTACATGAGTATATGACCAAAAGAAGATCAGTAGACCATAAGATGATCTTTTCTTTTGGGAGATGACCTCATGTACCTATTAATTTGCATGACTGATCTGATTATTTCCAAAATTAGACTATATTTGTATGGCTTATATTCCTTTTCCAATTGAGCTATTAACATGGGTCAGAAGCCTCTTGAGCTTCCCAATACAGGAGATCTTGTATAGAAAGCAACTGGCTCAATTGAGAAGTACCTTCATCTAGAGCTGGAAGGACCATCTAGACTAGAGTAGTTAGTTGTGTTGAAATACCTATTTTTTTTTTTTTTTTAGATTTATTTATTTATTCATACAGAACTGGGGTACAGGCCAGAGATGCGGAGGGTGAGAGGATTCACCAGAGACAGAGTGGGAAGCAGAACAGGCAGATTGACGAAGTACCCTGCTGAGGGGAGCAGCGTCGGGTCAGGAGAGGTCTGCCACGCCATGTGGATCTCCTCCGGGGCAGGCGGGAATCGAACTCATGTTGAAGTGGCTTTAGCTTCTTAGTGCAGTGCTTTAACCCGCTGCGCCACCAGGGAGGGCTGAAATACCTATTTTTAATCCATGGCAAATTTTTTGAGACAGGTGATAGCTATCATAGTTACTTTTAGCAAGATTTATTTTTTTCTCTATATTTAAGGACTGAGCATAGAAACAGAAATCACCTTCCAAATGCAACAGATATGAAGATAAAGACAGGTGTGTCATGTGAGATATGAGTTGAAAAATAGTAATGTTATATTTAATCTAGCTGTAGGCAATTTTCTAGATGACTGTTTCTACCAAATACACAGTATGACCTCTGAAGAGTCAGGAAAGGATACAGAAAAGCCAAGAGAGCCCAGCAATCAACTTGCTTAAACTGCTCCTGAAATATCTGTTTGAAAACTCTCTTCAGACTTTCTTCCCATTGGGCCAGGAGCATCAGTCTGCAGCATTTGCTGCAGGACTGTCCCCACTAGGAAAGCTAAGCAACTGAGGGGACTCATGGTTGGGGGGGTATTACAGTATAGCCATACATTGTGCAGTTTTTGCTCAAGATTTATCAGCTATCACCCTTTTGGGGAAAAAAATTAGTGTGTATATATATTTAAATCCATTTTATTGAGCTATAATTTGCATGAGGCAATATTTGCCAGCTAATTTTTTTTTAAAGATTTATTTATTTGTACACACAGAACTGGGGTACAGGCCAGAGGCTCAGGGGTGGTGAGAGGCTTCACCAGAGACAGAGTGGGGAGCAGAACAGGCAGATCGATGAAGTACACTACTGAGGGGAGCAGCAGGAGGGTCAGGAGAGGTCTGCCACACCATGTGGTCACCTCCGGGGCAGGCAGGAATTGAACTCATGAGGAAGTGGCTTTAGCTTCTCAGTACAGTGCTTTAACCTGCTGCACCACCAGGAGGGCCTGCCAGCTAATTTTAAGTGCATACTTAAGTGAATTTTGACAGTGTGTAAAGGCTGTCACAATTGGGATAGAAAATATTGCCATCACCCTCCAAAGTTCTCTTTTGCCTTCTCGTAGTCAACTTCTACCCACATGTCCTCAGCCCTGGCCAGCACTGGTCTGTTTTCTTTCTTATGGGATCTTAAAATAGGTGACCCTTTGAGTCCAGATTCTTCAGGAATCTTGAAAAGAGAACCAGCAGGCTCTGGCAACCGAGCATTGCCAGTGTAGGGTTCCCTACATTTTAATTATTTTGAGGAGGTTGGAAAGGGAATTGTGGAGAGCTGTGGTGAGCTCCTGCCTTTAAAAGTCTTCCCTGGTGATTCGGAGTTACCAAGGGAAGGCTTTAGCTCTGGACATCAATCAAGTTTACCTGATCACACTTCCTGAACTTGCAAGTTGTCTTGCCGCCAACCAAATGATTGTCTCGTCTCTACCCTTGTGTCACAGGCATCTCTTCCCAGGTGAGTCTGGATCCTAACGAATGATGCTTGGTGGGTAAGAGCACACATGTGGAGTTAAATAGAGTGGAATTTGACTCCTGGTTCTGTTGCTTATAAATGGTATGGCTCTGGGAAAATACCTTAAGTTTTCTGAAACTCAGTGCTATTTTCTGTATAATGGGATAAAACCACCTACCTTAGAGTCCTGTTGATGAATTAAAGAATACTTAACATATTGTGCTTGGTGTAGTCATGTTCTACCCTCAACAAAATATTTTTACCTGTGTTTTGCATTCTGAATTTTAGATTAAAAGTGGTAACTGGGTTGAGAAGGGAAAAAACTAATTGCAAGCAGAGTTTACATTTTCTCTCTTATAAAACTTATTGCAAGTGGTGATTTTATAAGTAGGTGCCATCTTGGCATGAAGACATTGCACTTTCGAAGTTTGATCCTTACATTTGATGTTACCTGTGTGGTGACTCCAAAAGACAGACTGACATTAACAGCCGAAACTGAGGCTGCTTCCCTTTCCTTTTGAGCCCTGAAAACATAGATGAAGGCTGGCTTTTCTCACACCCCATGAAAGGAACCAAAATAATGGCCCAGGTCCATGTACTTGCTTTGCTGTGCCAGCAAGAACACCAGTCTCCTCAGAGTAGGGATGTGTATATATTCTGTACTCTACTTTTAGAAAAGTATGTTTCTTTCAAGGTTTTCTTGCATTGATAGCCATAAAAGCATGCTGTTTTTCTCTATTCTGAATCACTGAGAAGGAAATGACAATGGACAAACTAAGATGACTATGTGACAGCCTTTAGGATGTGTAGGGAGGTTCTGGGCCTGAGTCCTCCACCATCTCAAACAGATGAAGGATGATTGCCCTCCTGTGCTCCAGAATGTTCCAGAACAACAAAAGGGTGAATTGTGACACACTGAAACTAAAAGGCAGGCATGTCTCTAAGGCATGCTCTCAGCCAGTGGAACAGACCAGCTGGCCTGGCTCATCAAAGAGAGTTGCTATTTGAGTTGTCAGTTCAGTTGCCAGGCTTCACATCTGTAGCTGGGGATGTGCCTGCTTGTCTCTGAGATCTGCATCTGTGCCTGGAATGCATTCAAAGGGAACAGTCCTAAGAATTCAGGTTCATGGTGAAGAAAGATGGCCTCCAGTCTGTCCAGAGGGGCAGTTTCTTCTTGGGTGATAACCCTGGATATTTTGGAACCTGCAAGGATGGTTTCTCAGACCTCAGCCTCTAGGTAGAATTTTAAAAGAAGACCACAGTATGTTTGAAGACTTCTAGTAAACCACTGGAGCTTAGTACATGTGGAAGGTGATGGAGGATGAGGATGTAATGGTGGACATGGGCTAGGTTTTATATGATCTTAATGAAATATGATTCCTGGTCTAACTCCAAGCTTCTCCAACCTTCTGTCTTTTTATCTGGACTCTGTCAGTTGATGTATCCTTTTTGGTATGGCCTTTTCTTCCCCCTCACATATCAGTGTGGCTTTGTCTGGTGTCACTATGATGGAAGAGAGCTTCTCTTCCAGATAGTAATTGAGGAAGGGACCCAGTTCATCCCATTCTATCTTGGGGCTCCAAGATGGAAAAGTTAAAGGCATGGCAATGTGAAACTGCCATTTCATGTTTGACTCTAACATCTCCACATAG